GGATAGTCTAGAGCAGACAGTCAGTCACAACATTGGTGACAGTCCAGCCATGGTCCCTAGCCTCTCCTCTCTAGCAAGGAGCCTGAATTCCCTACTCTTAGGGATGAGGCACCACCTGGGAGTGAGTCAAGTCTCCATTATGAGCAAGGGCAGGGTCTCTGGTTACTAGCTTTTGGCTAGCACCCAAAGGGAAACCTGCTGCTAATAAGGCAGTAAATGGTGGGAGAGCCCAGAGGAGGGATGTCTCCCCTTTTTCTGTGCACAGAAAGGTAGAACCACATTGACTCTTGAGGTATTCCCAAGATCACAATGGACTGTTCACTAGGGTAGGAGGTGGGTGATCCAGTTCTAGGGCTCCAAGTGAAATGAAGAATTAATTGGAGTCTCATAGATTTCAGCAGGCCCAGTGAACACTGGGCCTTCACCTTTCCCAGCCCCCATCTCAGGAAAACCTCTTACCACATTGGTTTCCATCGCCGACATTTCAGCCAGCTCTTGCACTTGAAAGACAAGGCAGACACTTGGCAGCTTGAGGAGGTGGGAGGTGTAACTTCTTCATATCAGGCCATGTTGAGGAAAATCAGATTTCCTTTCCTGTGAAACAATCCCCGCAGTGGGAATTCAATGGCTACCACACAAGCACCACAAAACAAGCCCTGACAGCCATAATTAAAACCAAGACCTCTGATGTCTGCAAGGAGAGAATACCAGCCGAAGAGGTTGCCTTTGCCAAATCCAGACCCCGAAAAGTTGTGTTCCAGACTTGCTGAGAAAAATTAACCAACCAGGGAACCTTCTTGCACCGTAAAGTTTGAGTCAAAGCTTCCAACGATACAAACAGAACTACAAAGCTGGTGAGAGCCAAACGAAGGTACCATCCAAGCTGAGAGCTTGAAGATATGAAAGCTAGCCTGTGTTGATCAGCAAGGTGTAGAGGAGGAGCAACAGCCAGCCTGTGCTAATCTGTCTGAGCTACAGGGGAAAGGGACAACTTCCTTTTTTCTAGGAGTGGGGGAGAAAAGAGAGACTGAACTCAAAGTTTCAAGTATATTAAGAAACACTCCACTACTGACCCATATACCCCAGCCAAAATTTCTGACTAGCTAGAAGGCGAGTCATTTAATCTTTCTGAATGTTGGTTTCTGTATCTGTAAAAAGGAAACAGGGCTGGGAATATGACTTAGTGGTACAGTGCTTGCCTAGCATACATGAAGCCCTGGGTTCGATACTTCAGTACCACATAAACAGAAAAAGCTGGAAGTGGCAGTGGCTTAAGTGGTAGGACATTAGCCTTGAGCACTGAGGCTCAGTGACAGTGCCCAAGCCCTAAAAACTAAAGCCTCAGTACCACCAAAAACAAAGGAAACAAAAGCTGCCACCTGAGGCTAAAAGCTAGTGAAATAGAGAATTTTTAAGGTACTAAATGAATTTTAAAGCATGACACAAGTGCCACCATTTTTGACTGCTTTCTTCACCTTACATGGTGAACAAATGGAATTGGTGAACTCACAGATTCTTCTTGTCCATCAAATACCAGTAACAGCCACTACTGCCAGGCCCTATGCTGAGCATGCTCTCAAGAATTCACAATCCAGCAGAAAGGCAAGGCCTGAACATATTCTAAGGAAGGCTCATTATCGCTCCTTAAAGAGATGTACTAGGCATGTGGCCAGTGAGTTGTGAGGGGCCGGGAAGGGAGGCGCAGCACCAGCACAGGTCCAGCACAGCAGGACCAGGGCAGGCAAGAATATCCTAAGTCTGCAAAGGTGGTGAGGTCTGGGGGTGTCATGGAGAACTGGACCTGGTCTGAACAGGAGATGGTCTAGAGTGAAGGCAGCTCATTTTGGAGACTTCCTTAGATAGTTCGCCCTGGAGTTGGCACTAAAGGCCCTCGTCTGTCCAATTCTGCTGCCTCCAACTTGGACTCCGTTTTCACACTTCCCTTCAAGCCTTTTTCTTTTTTTAAAATCACAGTACCGTGTGTGCGCCGGGCTCCGAGCGGACTGCCCGTGCCCGCGCAGGTTCGCAGAGCAGGGCTGCTGCGCTTCCCGTTAGTCCCGCAGCCACCCCGCACCTCCAGATGCACAGCCGGGGACCCTCGGCCAGACCCTGCCCTGGCCGAGGCCGCCTGACGCGACCAACAGGATAAACCCTGGGCTGCTCGGGGCCCCTTCCCGGGGGCCGCGCCGTCCCGCCCGCAGCCCTGGCGCGGCGCTCGGCGCCTGGCGGCTCCAAGCGCGACGTGCTGGGACGGACTGCGTGAGGCCGGGCCGGGGCCGCCGGCCCCGAGACCTTCGTGGGCGAGCACCCTGGCCGCGAGGCCCCGCCCCGCCCCGCGGGTCCGCGCCGGCCGCAGCCAGGCCTCCCGCGCCGGTCCGCCGGGCTCGAGCGGCCCGTCTACCCCCCCCCCCCCCCCACGCCGGGCCAAGGTCGGTCCTCGCCGCCCGCCCCGCGGCCCTGGGACGCACGGGCCGAGGCCCGGGGCGCGGCAGGGGCGAGCAGACCGGACCCGCTCGGCGCGGGCGAGCTGCGGGGCGCTGGACCGCAGCCGCCCCTCCGGCCGAGCGAGGCGGACAGCAGCCGCCGCGGCGGGAACGCGCGCGGAACAGGAGCCGCGGGGGCCGGCTTACGGCCGGCCGGACGAGCGGTCTCCAGATTCTCCTCACCTCAGACTCGGGCTCCCGGACTCACCTCACGGCCCCTCCCACCACCACCGCGGACGGCCCGGCCTCCAGCGCCCTCACTTCCGGTAACCCGCCCCCCCACAACCCCGGAAGCGATCTCTTGCAGCTGCGCGCCAAGGCGAGGGCTCGGGAGGAGGCGTGGCGGGGCGGCCCCGTGGGCGGGGCGGGCCGCCAGGGGGCGGGGCCCACGCCGGAGCAGAGCCCCGCCCCCAGGAGCCCGCTGGCCAGCGCTGACCGCCCCTACCTTACCCTCGCCCGCTTCTCTGTTCCGTTTTCGCAGCCAAGGCGTTCTGGAAAAATCTAGCAAGAATGAGCAGAAGCGGGCTAGAGTTAGGGGCTCAATAGTAGTAGAGCATCTTCCTGGTGAGCTCAAACCCGGAGCTCAGTCCCCAGTATGCCCAATAGGTAAATAAGCAAAGAAAAAGTAAATAACATTTTTGTTTTTAATGGCAGAGGGCCTCTCGCTTTTGACTGCTGACCTCCAGTGCTTTGTGGCTTGCTTCTATCTTTGCCCCTACTGTGTCTGCCAGTCTCACACCTCCACAGTATGTCAATTAGAGCTATTCAGTGTGTCGATTAGATTAATGGCACTGTTCTTCAGGCTCACAGGCTCACTCCAGTGCTGAAACCTTCACTGTCCTTATCTCTGGCATCTGGGACCTGAGGCAGGTTCCTCTGCCTTCCTACCTGGCTTTGCCTGGCTCTGGCTCTGCTGGCTCTGGCTGTGGTTCCTCGGTCTCAGAACTTGGACTCCCCATGTGCCAAGCACAGGCTGGCTGCGCGGGTGAACAGCCTGTGCAGTCACAATGGGCCCCACGCCCAGAACAGCCCCAGCCTGCTCCCCTGCTCTGCTGTGGCCCTCTTGAAACCAGGTATGGTGTCACTTGGTGTTAGGGGGTCCATTGAGAAACATGCTTTTGGTTGATTCCATTGTTATAGGAACATCATCTCTTGGATGCAGACCTAGATGATGTGGTAGAACCCATTGTTCCAGCTTTCCAGCATATTTCTGTACTGAATATAGCAACTGCAACACAATGGTATTGTCCATCTAAACATCAAAGCATAGACAAGGTCCAGTAAAAGTACTAAGTGATGGAACATTTTCGGCTTAGTTATAATCTTAGGAACCACCGTCATATGGACGGCCTATCCCTGCCCAAACCATCACTATCATTTCTCTTTGGTGAGCAGCATAAGGATTTGAACCCAGAGCTTGCTAGACAAGTGATCTTCCACTTGAGCCAAACTCCCGGCTTTTTCTTTCTTTGTTTTTGTTTCTACAATCTTCCTGAATAGCTGTGATTATAGGCACGCACCATCATACCTGGCCTTGACAAGGGCATTTCATTGCACTTTCATTTTGCACTGGACTGTTTTGTTTTGCAATGGATGCCACAAGTCAAGTAACTGCTCCTAGCCAGAGACTTGGAGGGCAGGTCATCCATCCCAGCGATGGTTGATTTCCAGGTCTACCCTTTCTAGGATGGCACAATGCCCCTCAGTCGTTACTTTCCTGTGCTGGGCAATGGCAGATTATGCAAATCCTTGTGCCTGCCCATGCTGTTTGCGCACCCTACTCAGATCCCTGCCGGGAGTAAACTCAGCCTAGGCATGTTCTTTACCTCTCCAGACCAATGATTGATTGGTCTGAGGAGGGAAAGGCTGGCTTGACCCTGCAGTGGTCATTTTTGCTCCAGAACCCTTCACTGTGGATCGGGCCAAAGCGAGGCGTTGAGACATCTTTGCTCAATAATTTCCCTTGCTGTTTTCTGCCGCAACCCTTCTCTTCCAGGTCTTTTCTAAAGTGTACTTTTCTTTTTTCTTCTTTTTTTTTGGGGGGGTCCAGTTGTGGGGCCTGAACTCTGGGCCTGGGCGCTGTCCCTCAGCTCTTCAGCTCAAGGCTAGCGCTCTACCACTTAAGCCACAGCGCCACTTCCAGGTTTTTTCTTTTTGCTTATGTGGTGCTGAGGAATGGAACCCAGGGCCTCAGGCATGCAAGGCAAGCGCTCTACCACTGAGCCACATTCCCAGCCCTAAAGGGTACTTTTTTCCCAAATCACCTAATATCTGTCTCGGGCTCTGCTTCCAAGCCACTGGGTTTAACTTTAGGATTGCTCTCAGTACAAGAGCACCAGATTCTCAAAACAGCAAGTTCTACCCCTGGGCTTATCACAGATTTATTTTAGGAAAGTCACTCAAGCCCTCTGCTGACAAGATAATCCCGAGGCATTCCAGCTCAGATCTGGCCCTGCCACTCTCCCTAGCCAATCCAACGGAAGTCAGAGAACAGAAGGACAGAACTGAACATGCTGCTTGAAGGAAAGATGCGAGTCCCTCTACGCTCCAGTTTTATTACCGGACATGTTGGAGGAAAGTGGCAGAGGGGTGGCAAGAGGGCAGCGAGGCGTCCTCAGCTGAGGGCAGGCAGGCATGGAATGGAGATCCAGAAAGCAAGCCTCTCTAAGTGGAATCTCGAGGCCGGGCTCCTTTCAAGCAGAGGTCCAGAGGCCAGGTGGCAGCTGAGGCTGAGGCTGGAGGCTCAGGGGACAAGATATGAAGGGGGCTGGGTGAGGCTTGGGCATTGTCCCCGCGGTGGGGAAGTGCCACCTCCCAGCACAGCACGTGGCAGCGCTCCCTGGCCCTGCTTGATCTGAAGATCACAGACACCTTGGAGAAAACAGGCAGGGAGAGAAGAGGGACGGTGCCAAAGAAAACACCCCAAACCAAGACAACTTCTCAGGCACAAGCCGGTTTGCAGCCCGCGCCTCTGAGACTGAGGCCGGCAGCTCCAGCAGCTCGGGGCCTCCTGCGGCTGGCAGGGCTCCTCCCTATGGGTGGGTGAGGCTGGATGGGCCTTAGGAAGTCTGCCCGCCGCCTTCCTCCTCTGCCAGGAAGGGAACTGGTTTCTGGAGAGCTGCTTTTAAAAAGCTGGGCGAGGAGGAGAAGAGGCGCGTCCCCCTGCGCACAGCTGCGAAGACATCAAGCTGGGCCTGCGCAGGATTTCAGACCCAGCCGTCATGAGGCTGCTGCGGGGGAGGCCGCGCCCCCTGCTTTCTCTCCAGCACATAGGTTGTAAAAAAATATCTATAGTTCACATAAAAACACTTCTCTGCATGTGTAGAAAAGACTGGCCCTGGTCAGTGGCTCAGGGTGTGGACAAGGTCCCAGGAGCGGCCACCAAGCTGGCCTGGGTGCCGGGAGGCTGCTGTGTCTATGGAGGTCTGCGGGCTGGGCACCAGCATCTGTCCTGCCAGGACCCTGTGTTAGGGTGGCTGGGCCCTGGCGGGGATTCGCCCGTTTCACAGCCCCACCCCAGTGTCCTGTCATCTGGCCTGGCCGGCTGAGTGGGTCTGGGAGCCCCCAGCTACCCCCCCCCTTCCGCTGGCTGCAGGCCTCCGCACAGGCTGTCTCCAGCTGAGAGTGACCCGCGCTGGGGACAGGGGACAGCAGGCACAGGAGGCCGCCGGGCGGGGTGTGGGGGCTCCACACAGACAGTGCTGTGGCAGCCTGGCGCCCTGCGCCGGCGCTTGCTCGTGGCCTCTGGGCCGGGTGAGGGGCAGCCAGGAGGGGCTCTCCCCCTCTCGCCCCCTCCTCCCACAAGGGCTTGGACTGTGACTGGACGGTGAGGGCCAGGGAGGTGACCCCGGGGCTTGTGTTGAGGGGAGCCCGGTGGTTAGGTAGGGCTGCTGGTGAGGGTGGAGGTGGTGGCTCATCGGTCCCCCCACGGGGCAGGGATGGCTCCAGATCCTATGGCAGCGTGGGAGGAGGGAGAGGGAGGGTGTGGAGTGTGGAGTGGGCTGAGGACCACTGGGCTCGGGGCCTGAGAGGCCGGGCCGGGGTGTCCGTCCCCCCTCTGCAGCGCACAGGGGCGCTAGGGCTGGAGGAGGGGCAGGCCCCGGCGCAGGCCCTCCTTGAGGAACTGCATGTAGGTGGCCGTGGACGGGTCCTCGAAGGTGGACGAGAAGCTGAAGACATTGTTCTCCATGTCCTCGGGCTTCATGGAGGTGATGTCCAGGAAGTGGTTGGCGTTGATGTGGTGGACCTGGGAGGAGCGGGGGAGGCGGGCGGGTGAGGGGGGGGGGCGCGGGGGCCCCGTCCCTTCCACCAGCCTCTCCCTGCGGTGATGGCAGGTGGGCTGTGATCACAGAACCCCACTAGTACCTTCCCTAAGCCGAGGCTTGCTGCTTCCAACACCTCCTTTTCCTCTTCCCTCCCATCTCCCCTGTTCCTGGGACCCCTGAACGCCATACACTGGCCCTCACGGCTGGCAGCCCGAAGTACAGCCAAGGAGGCCCTGCGCACCCTCCGCTCCCCTGCGCGCTCCCCTGCGGCGCACACCGGCTGAGCCTAGCTCAGTCCTAGCTCAGTGCGCCCCCGCCGCCGGCCCCCACTGCGCCCCGCGCCCACGGTGCCTACCACGGTGCCATTGGGCAGGCAGATCATCATCTCCACGGGGAAGCTGTACTTCTCCAGGTGCAGGCCAGCCAGCTGCCTGTGGGTCGGGCTCTCCTGGTTGTTCTGTGGGGACAGTGCAGCGGGTACACCCCTGCCGCCCCAGCCCGGCACTGCCCCGGGGCTCCAGAGGCTCCTTCCCCACCCGCCCTGCTCACCTGCAGGTCCTCCAGCTCCTTCACCAGGGACCAGGTGCTGATGAAGCTCTCGTTGAGGAGGGCGAGGATGGGCGGACTTTCCAGGACGGTCTCCCGGAGAGTCCGCCCGGAACCTGTAAGGGGAGCCCAGCCCGAAGGGTGAGAGGGCTGTGTGCCTTCCTGGGGGTTCCAATCAGTATTTTTGTTGTTGTTGTTTTTTGCCTACTGGGGTTTGAACTCAGGGCCTTGAGCTTGCGAGGCAGCTGCTCTACCACAACGCCAGTCCTTTTTGCTTTAGTTATTCTTCAGATAAGGTCTTGCTTTTGCCTGGGCTGAGGTCAGACTGTAATCCTCCCATCTCTGCTTTCCTGAGTAGCTGAGATTATAGGCATGAGCCACAGCACCTGATTTATCCTCACCTTCCTCTCTTCCCCTCTCCCTTCCTTTTTCTTTCTCTCTTTTCTCTCTGGTAGTGTTATGGTTTGAAGCCTACGAGTTAAGCCGAGCCTCCAGTCTCAGCTTTCCCTTTGAGATAGGGTCTGGCTAACCTTCGTGTTGAGGCTAGCCCTATATCCCGTCCTCCCATCTCTACCTATCAAGTAGCTGGGATTGTAGGAGTGTGACACAGACCTGTGAATGACTGAACTGGGCCAGGGGCACTGTTCTACTCAACTTTGTGCCTACCACTGGACACCCAAAGAGCTTTGCATCCAGCTGGGTTTTCTGAGTCAGGAGCATGGCAGAGCCTGCGGCCCTGCTTCCTCTCATTTGTGGAAACGGCCTTAGAGTCCAGCTCACTTTCACACTCATTTTCACAACCTCAGGAAAATATGCTGCTCCCTTTCACTGTGGAGAAAACAGGTTCAGGGAGGGGAACGCCAAGCAGCAAAGTAGCAAAGTGCTTGACCCACATGGCGGGGCTTTTCTTCTGGCACTTTCCTCTGGGCTCAGCATAGAAGCCCCCCAGCCTCACTCGTGTCCCCAGCCCGTGTGGCCCGAATCCCTCATGCTGCAATGAGTCCTGGTAGTCTCCGCTCAGTACCTGTTTCCCCTCACCTCAGCACGACTGGTCGTCCAGGGCCCCCCACAGCAGGATCGAGTGAACCAGCGTGTTCTTGGCCCTGGCTCGGTCGAAGGCCTCAGTGAATGGCAGGTAGGTGACCTACAGCCAAGTCAGGATGGAGTAAAGTTACTGTGTGCGGCCAAGGCTCTGTCCAGGGGCTATGTGTAGTGCATATTTATACACGTGAATCTGTGTATAGGTGCGAGTGCGTGTGTGTGTGAGTGTGCATGTGTGTGTGTTTGTGTGTGAGAGTGTGTGTGTGTGTGAGTATGGCAGAGCCTCCTCCAGGCTTGGGTGCAGAGAGGAGTTAGCCATGGGGCAGGCTGGCCCTGTGTGGGCCCAGCACCCAGCCTCAGCCCCTCAGAGCCTGACCCTTCGCCCCTGCCCAGGCTTGCCTTCTTGAAGGGGTACATGGCCACCTCCAGGCGCCGGGCAGCCTCCTCCCAGCTCAGTTCCTGCTGCCACTTGATCTCCTCAAACACAAACTGCAGTGGCTCCCCGGAGGGTGGGCGGCTGTCGATCCTGTTCCCATCTTCATCCAGGATCACAGAGGGCACCGAGGGGCCTGTGGCCTCCAGCTCCATCTGGGCGGGAATCAGCAGTGAGGGGTGTCTTGGAGATGGCCTGGGGGCCTTGAAGTAGACCCACTCTAGGGAGGCAGGGAGCCTGAAGAGTCTGAGGCCCCAAAGGGACTGGCAGCCGAACTGCCAGTGCTCACCTGGGGAATGTAGCCGATGTCCACCTCCATGCTGCTGCTCTCACTGGCCCCATACAGCCACTCCATGTCCACATTCAGGGATCTGGGGACAGTCGGGGCAGGGCAATGTCAACAGCAAAGCCCACTGGCCATGTGTCAGATTCCATCTAACTTTGCCCCAGCAACCATCCCACTTTGCAGAGGAAGACTGCCAAGACTTCAGATGGCACTAGAGCAAAGCCACTGGGCCAGTCTTGGGGTTCCCAAGGGCTCTCAAGGTTTGGCTTGTGTCCTTCCCATGACCCTTCCCTTTCAAGGCCGAGAGATGGTCAATGCATTAGATAGTTCCTGGTGTGAGGCAGAACAGGGCGGTGGGAGGAAAGCAGTCTGGCCTGGTCAATATAATCTGAAGATCTGCCACAGGGGGGCGCCCCAGGACCAACTGCTCAGATGTAGGGCAGGTGTCTATGGGGTGTGACACCTCTGGTTCTGCTGGTTATCCAGGGCATCAACCCTGCGTTGGAGCAGGTATGCCGCTGTGGGGGTCAGCCTCCTTCCTGGGGTGGGCTCAGCCCATGGGAGCAGGTGCTCCTTGCTGGGGAGGTGGGGCAAAGCTATGCATCCTCCTCAGCCTTCCTGTAGCTATGTCTCTGCCCTAGGACTCCAAGGAGGAGAAAAGCCACTCCCACTGCTAGAGACGTGTTATCTTCCAGGCCGCCCTAGCTCTCTACTCCTGCCCAGGATGAGGAAACTGGCCACACTACCCATTACTGCCAGGGCCAGGACTCGCTAGGGCATCTGAGCTCCCAGCCCAAGTCTCATCCATACACACACCACTCAGGCCTCCGGAGTGTCCACTGCTGTCAAGAAGGGATCTTTTGAAGCCAGACCCTCCCGGGTCCCCATGCTGCCCCAACAGGTGGCTCACCCTGAACAAGTGTGCAAGCAAGTGGCTGGCACAGTGCCAGAAACCCCTCCCACGCGCAGTGGCGCAGGAAGTCTGCCCTCAGGCCCTGGCATGCACCGCTCCCTCGCCTCCCTGGGTTTCTGCTTGGTGTCATTTCCTCTAGGAGGCTTTCCTGGACACTAGCAGGGCCTTCCGTCAGTGGCAGGAGCCACTGTGGTTTGGGTCTGCCTGTTATGGGAAGGCCGGAGGCTAGCCTGAGGGAGGGCCTCGTGGCTTCCATGTTGCGTCCCAAGCGGGAGGACAAGCCTAGTGAGGGACTGGGAGATGGTGGCCAGGTGACAGTGTCACCCTCAGCCTGCCTCACAGCGGAAGCTGGCCCTGGTCGGCAGGGGCTGCTTCTGAGCCCTCGGAGTTTGGATGGGACCCGCTGCACCTGTGATTTGGCACGAAGAGCCGGAAGTCGCGGACATGGGTGGCGTCTTTGGAGAGGATGATATGGCCGGTGAACTGGCCCGGCGAGAACCAGAAGGGGAAGTCGGGAGGCTCACTGAGCTGGAACTCGGCGTGGATCCTGCGGAACAGAGTCAGCTAAGCTGGAGCTCCCCTCCTCTCCCCCAAAGCCTGGAGCTTTGGCCAGACTGACTTCTGGGGGGGGGAGCGGGGGAAGGAAGAGTAGGGTAAGAGAAAAGGTGGGGGCAGGGAGAGCGCATGAGCCCCTCTGGATGCCACCACCCTTCAAGGACGGTCTGTGTGCTGTCGTTTTGGGAAGCCTCACCCTGAGCTCCCCACTTCTGCTGTGTGTGACCAGTGTCCTCTGTGGACTGGGTGCCAGCCCCGGGCCAAGCGAGCTCCAGAGTTCCCACTGAATCCTCACCTGTTCTGGGAGGAGGTCATCTCCACCCAGATCCACCGGTGGGGAAACTGAGGTTCAGAGCCTGAGTTCACAGGGTGGGAGGGGCGGGGCTAGGCCTGGGGTGGGCACTCACCGGAACACCACGGTGTAGTAGGAGTCGCTGGTGGCTGTCAGGCAGGCCACAGCGCCCTGCGGGGCAAAGCGGGTCTTCACGAAGGGCCTGGGGTGGAACATGCTCAGGAGCCGGTGGATGATGACCTGGATCAGGGACAGCAGTGGAGACTCAGTCAGGTTTTCCCGGCAGTGGGGGAGGTCAGGTGAGCCGGTGCGGCAGGCCTGGCACGGGGGTGCAGGTGGGCAGGGGCCTGGCACTGGGACAGGGCTCTGGGTCTGGGGCCTTACCTCCTTGCCCTTGGGGGGCGGAGGGTAGAAGCGGTTGTTGGACAAGTAGCCGGTGAAGACGCTCAGCTCGCTGGGGATGATCCACCAGGGCTCGCCCAGCTCCTGGCCTCGCGGGGGAAGGAAGGGCCGGAAGTGGCGGGCGGCAAACACTGCACTTGGCAAGGCTGCTGTGGTCCAGTTGCGGAGGCCGGACAGGGCAAAGCGGGAGACCTGGGGCAGGGAAGACCGAGGCTCTGGGCACTGGGGCCTCCGCTGCGGGGTCTTGTCCTTTGTGGGGTCTCCTCACAGCCCTAGCTGGATCCTAGGCAGAGGGAGCCCCGAGAGGCGCCTGCCCCAGTGGCCATCACAAGTTTGGACAGAGGTTCAACTCGCCCTTCCAGACACCGGGGAAGCGAGGCCCAGCAGCCTGCCAGCAAGGCCCGGCCAGGCTCAGGGCAGGGAGGGAGCTGGAGGGGCCACCCGGGACTGGAACGGGTGTGGAGCCTGGGGCTCAGACAGGGCCTCTGCCAGGTCCCAGGCAGCCTCATCCTCCATCAGCCTCGCTTTCCACGCCCTGCGCCCCCAACCCTCCTAACCAGATCAGCGTGGGTCTGGGGCTAGGCTGACAAGGAGGAGCAGCCATCCCTGGGGTGAGATGTGTACAGTCACAGTGGGGGGCTGACAGGAAGGGGAAGGAAGGCCGCTTCAGAGGGTCCTGCCCGTGTCACCTTCTTGCCATACATCTGGACAAAGGCCTTCCCTAGCCTTCCACTGCCTGAGCTCGCGGCAGGAGCGAGCAGGGTCAGAAGCTGCAGGATCGTGCATGCATCTGGGGTGAAGAGCCCCAGCACCCAGCTGTCCTTACAGGGCGCAGACGGGGGCTGCCAGGACGGCTGGCCCTGTCCCCTCAGGTTGCTCAGACCCCACGAGGCACAGCCCCCTCTCCCTCCACCCTGTTAGAGGGGAAAACAGGACAGGAGTGTGGGGGCTCTGGCTTCTGCCTCAGCGGTTCACCAAGCCGCAGGCTCTCAATGCGGGGCTGGCTGTGCGCGGGGTGGGGGGGGCAGCTGAGCTGTCCACCCCTCTGCTCACAGGCTGCCCAACCCGCAGGAGCTCCAGGGCAGGCAGGGCTGTGACAGGCGCCTGGCCGCCCTCCAGCTCCCCTCCTGCTCTCCCACCACCCTGCAAACCACATGTTTCTAGGGGAGTCAGACTGAGTTTCCATCCACTCACGGGATTCCTCCCTCCAGGGCCCCCCCCCCCCCCCGCCTAGGAACCTCACGGGGTCTCCCTGTGCCCGCCAGACATGCTTCCCTTCCACAGTCCCCATCTGGGCCAGCGGCCCACATGCCCGGGTCACCAGCCAGCAGCTGAGCCACCCACTCTCCCTGGCCTGCTCCCCGGCAGCAGCTGCACCCTGCCCCTTCTCTCCCAGCATCCTCTGGGCTGCCTTCTCCCACCCTAGAGACTGGCCTGTTGTCCCCATCTCCCCCGTGCTGCCCCGGCTCCCCGCTGCCAGTGGAGACACGCTAATGACAGAGGCCATTTCACAGCCCACCATGGTGTCTTGCTGCTGCCAAGGCAAAGCCGGGTGGTGGTCAGGATGGCCTAGAGCAAGCAGGAGAGAGTGCAGACCATGGGCAGGGTGGGACCGGTTCAGACTGTCCACAGCTGCCCCCCCCCCCCCGTGGGGGAGGCGCTCTTCCCTCCTTGGGGACTCTACCCTGCGCCTCAGGTCAGCTTACTGCGGCTCACCAGAGCATCTGTCAGGCAGCTGGCAGGTGCTAGAGGCTTGGAGACATGGCGGGCAGGAGAGGTAACCACTGCAAGTGGGCACGGCAGTGCCAACCCGCCCCACACTTGCTCTTTCCTCCAACCCCGTGAGTAGGATCTGCTGGGTGTCCCTTCTCGCAGGAAGCACTCCCCCCCTCCCCGCCCCCCCCACTCCCCATCTTGGGGAGGGGCTTGTGCGTCTCTCCTGCTCTCCCATTAGCCTGGGAATCCGCCCAGCAGGTCCGAATCACACTCTTGGCACAGCCAGCACCCCAAGGAAGGAAAGAGGAAGGGGGCCACACATACGGGTTCCTAGGGGTGAGTCCGGAGCAAGGTATGACTCACCCCTAGGAAGCCGTCTTTGCTCTTGGTCATCGTCTCGGGGAGCAGAGGCTGGAAGCGGGCCTCTATGATGAGCGTCTCCTCGCCAGGGTCAGCGGGCAGCTCCTCATCTTCGTAGCTGGCTGCAGGAGTTGACCCTACAGGACACAGAGGGCTGGAGACGTCCTGCTGCGGGCTTAGGCCTGGCTTCTCCCAGGGCAGCCACGACGACGGAGCGGGGCCTCCCCGTCACCACACGCTGGGCCCACAGCGCATGGCACTGCACATTCACCCGGCCCAGTGGCAAATCTCATGGCCAACTCCATTTTACAAGTGAGGGATGGAGCCTCCAAGAGGTGAAGTCACGTCTCCAAGGTCACGCAGCCAGGCAGGGGTGGGGAAGGAGCTGTTTTGCTCTACGCTCAGATCTGTCACAATCCTCCTCTGGGTCTTGGGTCTGTAAGGAACTCAGTCAAGGGCATCAGAGTAAAGACCAAAAGCAAAAGGAGGGGCTGGGAAGGTGGCTCAGTGGTAGAGTGCTTGCCTTGCAAGCATGAAGCCCTGGGTTCGATTCCTCAGCACCACATAAACAGAAAAAGCTGGAAGTGGCACTGTGGCTCCAGTGGTAGAGCACTAGCCTTGAGCTGAAGAGCTAAGGGACAGCGCCCAGACCCAGAGTTCAGGCCCCATGACCGGCAAAAAAAAAAAAAAAAGCAAAAGGAGAGCCAGGCTCTCTTTGGTGTCATGGACGCACTGCCCCCTGCTCTTCTGGGTAGCTTGGCTCTCCTTGAATAGGAGTGTGGGACTGGCAGTGGCTGAACTTGGCTTCTCAGATCCTCTGCTCAGATACGGGCCACGCCTGCCATCATCCAGCATGGAAGGAGAAAGAAGTCAACTTCCAAAGTGATGGCTACAGGGCTGGGAAGGTGGCTGAGTGGTAGTGTCTGCCTAGCATGCATGAAGCCCCAGGTTCAATTCCTCAGCACCACATACACAGAAAAAGACAGAAGGGATGCTATGGCTCAAAAGGGAGAGTGCTAGCCTTGAGCAAAAGAAGCTCAGGGACAGGGCCCAGGCCTTGAGGTCAAACCCCAGGATTGGCAAAAACAACAACAACACAAAACCCAAAGTGATGATTGGCTACGGACACCTGTGGCAGGACGCAGCAAGGGGGAGGCCTGGCCCACCTGCTGACCCAGGGCTGTGAAGTGTGCAGAGGGTTCCTAGCCTTTGGTGGCCCTGACAGCTGGCAGCCGGGAATGTGTACATCAGAGCTGGCTCTCAGGCAGTCACAGAAACACACAGATCACCACTTCAGAACACAGCTGCCCAGATCCCACCTCAGACCTACTGAGTGGGGGCCATCAGGTTGTGAGTCGGGAACTCTGTGTGTGTGTATGTGTATGTGTGTGTGTGGTACTAGGGTTTGAACTCAGGGCTTGGCACTTGCTAGGCAGGAGCTTTACCACCTGAGCCATGCCTCCAGCTCTTTTTGTTTTATTTTTCAGGTAGTGTATTACACTTTTTGCCTGGGTCAGTCTGGTCCTTGATTCTGCCTCCCTAATAGTTAAGATGACAGGCACTCAGTTGCAACTTTTTGCTAAGGTAGGCAAAAAGGTTGCTGGGGTAGGATCTGTGATCTGGATCTCTGTCTTCCAAGTAGCTGAGATATAGCCTGAAACACTGTCTATCCTAGCCCTTTGGTTTTAAAATAAGAAGTATTCCAGCTGGATGCAGGTGGCTCTCACCTTTAATCCTAGCTATTCAGGTGGCTGAGATCTGAGGATTGCAGTTCAAAGCCAGCCTGGGCAGGAAAGTCTATGAGATTCTTCTCTTCAATTAACCACCAGAAAACCATAAGTGGTGCTGTGGCTCAAAGTGGTAGAGCTCAAGCCTTGAGCAGTGCCCAGGCTCAGAGTTCAAGGCCCACAACTGAAAAAAAAAAAAAAGTATTATTTCCCTTACTGTAAATAACACTTGTAAGAATTTTAAGATATATTGGGCTGGGAAGGTGGCTCAGTGGTAGAGCACTTGCCTTGCATGCATGAGGCCCTGGGTTCGATTTGTACCACATAAACAAAAAAGAAAAAAGCCGGAAGTGGCACTGTGGCTCAAGTGGTAGAGCGCTAGCCTTGAGCTGAAGAGCTGAGGGACAGCACCCAGGTCCAGAGTTCAGGCCCCACGACCAGACCCCCCCCAAAAAAAACCCAAAAAAGAATTTTAAGATATAAAGCAGACATACGCATAGCTCTATCAACTACACACAGCCATTTGTTTCTCTTGCTTGCTTTGAATTTGTTGTCCTCTAATTTCCCAAAACATGGTCCCTTTTATACTCACAGACTAGAAGCAATAAAGTATTCTTTCTCCCTGTGAATTAAAAGTGCCCTCAACTCCAGCAGGCTTTGCTGACTTATCATTATGAGGGAATGCTAGCTCTCTGGCCATCAGGGACTTAGAGAAGCAAATGCAGTGTAAGAATCAAAAGCAATGTCAGCGTGACTGACAGAACTACCTACTGCTGATACACGTTACTACAGCTAATTTGCATCTTCATCTGACCTTCCCCCTCTGGCAGCAACTTCAGGTCACCAGGTAGCTAGTGGCCAACTTCCCTGCACATCCCTGAAACATAACAAGCCCACTATGATGTTGTGCTACTTCTGTCCGGAGAGAAATTGGAACCTTTCTCCTATATCTTCCATCGATTGACTGACTGACTTCAACCAGGTGATCGGTATGCCAAGGTCCTAAGTTCAAAAATATCCTAAGAGGTTGGAGGGTTGGCAATGCAGACTTCGGGTAGGGGGGTGGGTGTGGCTAGGGAGAGAGAAGCATATTATACTTTTTTTTGGGGGGGGTCCAGTCGTGGGGCCTGAACTCTGGGCTTGGGCACTGTCCCTCAGCTCTTCAGCTCAAGGCGAGCACTCTACCATTTGAGCCACAGCACCACTTCCGGCTTTTTTCATTTTGCTTATGTGGTGCTGAGGAATCGAACCCAGGGTCTAAAGCATGCAAGGCAAGCACTCTACCACTGAGCCACCTTCCCAGCCCATATTATACTTTTAGAACCTTTCTTTAACCTCTCATCTTAAAAAGAAAAAATAGATTAGGAAAAGGCAAAAATAGCAAGTAGGGATAGGGATCTGACAGCACCTGAGCAGACAGCTGTAGGTCACCACACGCAGCTGTGGCTCCTCTCTCCCTGACACCCCTGACAAAGTTACCTGTGGTGGCTTTACATCCACCTCCTCTAATCCTCATACCTATTCTAACCTGGGCTCTCCAGTTTGGGCATACATAACGAACGTTTTTTTGTCACAGTGCCTGTGAGTTTAATATGCCAAACTCTGGGAACAGGGTCCATCTCCCTGAGCTGTCATGAGGTTTAAGGAGAGAGCTCCAGGAAGTACCTAATGACAGTGGCTGGCAGACGGGGCATTATTCAGAAAAGTGTGAGAGTCAGGCACCAGTGCTTCACGCCTGTAATCCTAGCTACTCAGGAGGCTGAGATCTGAGGATCACAGTTTGAAGCCAGCCCCGGCAGGAATGTCTGTGAAACTCATATCTCCAATAAACTCAGAAAAGGCCAGACGTGGAGTTGTGGGTCAAGTGGTAGAGCACTAGCCTTGAGCCAAAGAAGCTCAGGGACAGCACCCAGGCCAAGAGTTCAAGTCCCAGGACCAAGGGGGGGGGGGAAACGGGAAGTGTGAGAAAACACACTGGGAGCTGTAGCATCTCACCCGTCCTGTCCCAGCAGGGGCCCCAAGGCCCTGCTAGTGCAGCTGTGGAACACCACCCCACTCCCCTGGTCCCCAGCCTCTCTGCTACCTGTCAGCTTCTCTGCGATGGGTTTGAACTCCTCGGGGCTGATGTACATATCCTGGTCGGCGTCCAGTGAGGAAAAGAGAAAGAGGCCATCGGTCCCCAGGGCCCTCAGCGCAGATTCCTGATGGGACAAAGTGGCTGGGCTGAGCACCAGAGAGCTGCCACACTCTCCAGGTCCCCAGCAGCTCCCGCCACCGTCTTCCCGAGTCTCCCCCACACCTCCCAGCCCTTCTGATCAAACGTCAGCTCTGAAGGGTCCCCGAGTCTCCCCCACACCTCCCAGCCCGTCTGATCAAACGTCAGCTCTGAAGGGTCCCCGAGTCTCCCCCACACCTCCCAGCCCGTCTGATCAAACGTCAGCTCTGAAGGGTCCCCGAGTCTCCCCCACACCTCCCAGCCCGTCTGATCAAACGTCAGCTCTGAAGGGCCCCTCTGCCCCCCCTCCCCGGCGCTCTCAGCCCCCCCGGCTTCACTCTGCCTTCACCGTCCCATCCCCACCCCTCCATCGGGCCGTCGCGCGCACAGGCCGCCCCCCAGCTCCCGGGCAGGGTCTGCGGCCCGGCTGCACCCTCCGCCTTTGTCTGCGGTCACCGTCCCCGGCACCGTCCCCGCGGTGCCCCGCAGGTCTGTCCAGGCCAGTCTTCCGCCGCCGCCCAGCGTCCCTCCAAGTTTCCTGCTCTGCCTTTCCTTCCCGCCTCCTCCTCCGGCCCCACCCCCGCCCGCGGCGCCCCATCCCCGCCCGGCCCGACCTGCCGCGCGGCCGCCTGGGCCTCGGCGAGCCGGGCAAAGACCCGGGCGGCGGCGGCGGCGGCGGCGGCGGCCAGCAGGGCCCCGAGCAGCGCCAGGGCGCGCGCGCAGCGGCGTGCGGGCGGAGGCGGGGGCGGCGCGGCGGGGCCCGGGCTGCGGGGCCCGCGTTCGCCCGGCCGGGCCCGACCCATGGTGGCGGCTCCGCCGGAGGCCGGGCACCAACTAACGGGCCCGGACGGGCCAGGGGCGGAGCCATGGGGTGAGATGGGCGGGACTGCGGCCGGAGATGGGCGCGGCCACGGGGCGGCCTGGGCGGGGCCGTGGCAGGAGATGGGCGGGGGGTCTGCGCTGGTGAGGGGCGGGGCCCCGGCGGGGCTGCGGCCGCGGCAGACGCGGGTCTCACCAGGCGCTAGAGGCTAACCAGGTTGTGAAGACCCACGTGGTGGGGGCGGGGCCGGGGTAGAGGAGGCGGAACTTTAGGGGGCGGGGCCTAGGTAGAGGAGGCGGGGACTTACAGGGGCGGGGCCGGGCGGAGGGGGCGGGGACTTGCAGGGGCGGGGCCGGGGTGGAGGAGGCGGGAACTTTAAGGGGCGGGGCCGGGGTGGAGGAGGCGGGTCCGGGGTAGAGTAGCCTCGGGGCCACCAGGGCCTCGGTCAGCGGGGAGGAAGACCCCGACAGGGCCGCAGCTGGCATCCTCACCCACCTCTGCCCTGCGGTGTCTCAGGCATCATCTAGCACAAGGAAGTCGGCCTCTCTTCCCTCCTGAGGATTCATTCGAATTTCCTACTTCATGCCACGTGCAGCTGGCATGGACGCCCAGGCTTCCTCCTGCGCTCCAGGCAGTCACCAGAGGCCCTTTTTGGGGTCGTGAGAGGAGGAAGTTCTGCGGGGCGAGGAGGCCGCAGCCCTCTGCTGGCTCTGCCTGGCGCAGGAGTGGTTTTTCTGGAGAGTGCTTGGACGAGGGCCTCGGGCAGGGAGGAGGTGGAGTTGGAGGAAATACTTCCCCATCTGTCGATCCCGGGAACCCTGGTTCCTGCCAAGCTTTCTTCCGTTAGTTCTAGCCAGGGGTGGCTCTGTGGCAGGGGAGTTCTGAGGCCTCTAGACAAAGACTCAGCCCAGGGGAGCAGGCTGCGTCCCCTGGAGTGGACCAGCCACCCCCCAGCACGGGCACCGCCCTGCCAGGCTTGGGAAGTCAGACGATCTCATGGTTTGTTTCCAAGTCCCTACTTTGATTCCAAGCCCCCTAGATTCTCTCATTTTGTTCGAAGGCCACTTGGTATGGGAGAGGCTTGCTTGCTTCTTTTAAAATCAAAAGCCTGAGCTCTGGCAACCCTGTCTGTTGGAGACCGGGTTGCCATTCTGCTTCCCAGATTTAATGGGAGGATAACCAACTTCATTGAGTCAGTGCTACTTCTGCCCTGGTACCCCTCAGTTACAACAGTGCCACCCACAAGAAAGGCCCTGTCTTCTCAGCACCCACTCCAGGACCTGGCACAGACAGACTTCCTGGACCTTCCAGAGCTGTGGCCTGGCCCAACTCTTGGCCTGTGCTCTGACTGCAGTGTGTCCTCAGAGGGACACTTGGGAAGGCCTGACATCTGGTGTTGGTGTCCCAAGGCTGCCAACTGTGCCTCTTCCAACTCATTATCACTAATGTTTGGGGACACCCTGCAGACACCAGATGCTATTAGAAAGCCAAACTCCATTCTAGCAGGAAGCAGAACTAAGACAGCACAAAGCAGGTTAGGAGGGAAGATTGATGAGCCATGCACAGCCTGGCCTCACCTGGCGAAAACAAACCTAGGGTTTTCTTTGCCAGAATACTTTCATTTATTATGCTTGCCTTCTGTTAAAGACACAGAAAACTCACTAGTCTCTGCTGTCCAGTATATAAGGGATGGAGATGCACAGATATCTCAAAGCTGGGGAGGAATGCGGTAGGAAGGGGCTGACTTATCTACTGCCACATTAAACATGGTGGGGTCCCTGCCTCCATCCTAGCCTCTTTGTAATTACTCCTCATCTCTGTGTGTCTGTCTCCTACCTTTGCCTGCCTTCCAGTAGCCTCTTCTCTGCTCCTGGCTTTCTAACTCTTCGAGGGAAGGCCTTTCTCCTGCAGGGGGTGCTGTTGCTCCACTCCAGCTCTAATACTGCAGAAGGCCAGGGACAAGGAGAGGGCCATTTGGCTGCTGGTTATTCTTACAATCATGATTTTCCTTGAATTTTTCCTTTAATGACACATAAAAATTATGGAGCATCATATGGAGTTTCTATAAATGTATATGTTTTATGGTGTTCAAATCACACTGGCCCTGGATTTTTTTGCTTTGTTTTTTGGTAGTGCTAAGGTTTGAATCCAGGACTTCACACTTGCTAGGCAGATGCTCTACACTCAGATCACACCCCCAGCCCTTTTTGACTTAGTGATTTTTTCAGGTAGGTTCTTGTGTTTTTCCTAGGGCCTCCATCTTTTTATCTATGCCTGACAGAGTTCCCCCTCTCCCCCCCAGGTACTACATACTTCCCTCACGCCTGTCGTTGTTGAGATGGAGGGTCTCACTTTTTTTCCCTGGGTGGGCCTCAAACTTCCATCTTCCTGACTTCTGCCTCTCAGTATCTGGGATGATCATGCCAGGCTCTATAGGAATCCTGTAAGTCATGGATACAAATTTTATATATGCTGAATTCATTCAACAGGGCATTGCATATATAACATATGATTGTTAAGTATATGTATATATATATATATATATATATATATATATATATATATAATTGTTATTAAGGTGCTGTACAGAGGGATCCTCATTTCCTAAGTCAGGTAATGAATAATTTTTTCTTTTAGACAATGTCACCCCTTCCTTTGCTTTCCTCCACTTTCTCCCTCCCATCCCTGCCACAAGTTTTACATAGGTCATTTTCTACATAGTGTATACTAAATAACATGGTTGCATTTGCTCACCCTTCCCTCTCTCTGTGTCCCCTCTTGTTCCCTCTAAAAAGAAAAGCCAAAGCAAAAAACAAAAACCCACCACCACTACTAGTAACAACAACAACAAAAAACCCCTCATGTTTCCATAGTCTGGAGTTTATTTCAGTAAATAGCATTTTAAATGTTCAGAGGTCGCACATTGGGTTCTTACGCTAAGAGCATCCCCCTTTAGTCTGTATGTGACTGTCTAGAGTCTTGTATAGTTTATCATGTAGTTCCACATATAAGAGCAAACATAATGCCGTTTGTTTTTCTGAGCTTGGCTTACCTCATTTAACATGGCTTGTTCTAAGTCCATCCATTTCCCTGCAAAGACATAATCTTATTCTTTCTAATGGACGAGTAAAATTCCGTGTGTGTGTGTGTGTGTGTGTGTGTGTGTGTGTGTGTGTGTGTGTGTGAGATACCATAACTTGGCTACTGTGAATAGTTTAATAATGAACATGGATGCACAAGGGTCTTCACCATATCTTAACTTGTAATATTCTAGGGAGATGCCCAAGAATGATATGGCTGGATCATAGGGAAGTTCTACAGTTTTTTGAGGAATCTCCAGACTGCCTTCCAGCGTTGTTGTACTAGTTAACTTTCCCACCAACAGTGCAATAGGATTCCTTCCCGTCCCCCTCCCCCCTCACAATCCCACCAGCATTTGTTATTGTCAAAATTCTCCTCCAGTCTATCTGGGGTGAGGTGGAATCTGCATTTGATCTGTTTTGATCTGCATTTCCTTTATGGCTAGGATATTGGCTATTTTTTCTTTTTTTTGGGGGGGGGGGGGCCAGTCATGGGGCCTGAACTCTGGGCCTGGGCACTGTCCCTCAGCTCTTCAGCTCAAGGCTAGCGCTCTACCACTTGAGCCACAGAGCCACTTCTGGCTTTTTTCTTTTTGCTTATGTGGTGCTGAGGAATCGAACCCAGGGCCTCAGGCATGCAAGACAAACGCTCTACCACTGAGCCACCTTCCCAGCCCATTGGCTATTTTCTTAAACAGATGACTTTTGTTGCTTTTAAGCTAGGGATCTCACTATATAGTCTAGGCTGGTCTGGAACTCACTGTGTAGCCCAGGCTGCTCTTGAATTTGAGGTTCTTCTGCCTCAGCCTCCCAAGTGTTGAAATTATAGGAGTGTACTGCCACTTCCAGCTTCCTGGCTGTGACTTTTTGTTGTTGTTGTCATTGGTCATGGGGTGTTTAACTCTAGCCTGAGAGCTGTCCCTCAGCTCTTCAGCTCAAGACTAGCACTCTACCGCTTGAGCCACAGCACCACTTCCGGTTTTCTGGTGGTTAATTGGAGATAAGAGTCTCACAGTAAGAGTCTCACGGACTTTCCTGCCTGGGCTGGCTTTGAACCACAGTCCTCAGATCTCAGCCTCCTGAGTAGCTAGGATTACAGGCATGAGCTACCAACACCAGCCCTGACTGTGACTTTTTTAGGGACATTTCTAACAGCCTGAAAACAGAAACAGCCCTGGTTTCCATTGCTGGATGAGTGTGGAATAGCCAGGCAGGGGATGTTTTTAGATAATACTACAGCATGGTGAAATCTGAAAATGTGATCTGAGTAAAAGCAGCCAGGCACAAAGATTCCATTTCTACGAGATATCCAGAACAGACAAATCCATAGAGATGGAAAATGGATGAATGGTTGCCAGGAGCACGAATGGGAAAAGGGAACAGAGCCAGTAAGGGGGCGGCGGGGGGGGGGGGGGGGGGGGGAGAGAACTGAGGGTAGGAACAGTTGCTAATGGGTGCAAGTTTTCTTTCTGAATGTTCTAAAATTAGCTTATGGTAATGATTGTACAACTCTGAATATCCTATAAAAACATCAATTGCATACTTTAAATGGGTGAATTTTTGGTGGAATAGAGACAGTATAATCCAACAAGGTCATTTGGTGTTTGGCGTGTTTCTGAGTGCCTCTCTGGTGCTTGGTAGGAGAACCAACAGCCTGGCAGGCCGGCTTGAGTGGGCTCCCAGTGGGACATGGCCTGCACAGGGCTGGAGAAGTTAGAGGAGGCAGGGAATCTGCTGGAGAAGGATGGGAGCTGCTGGCGGGTTGGAGGTAGATGGGAAAAGAACAAAGCATTAGCTTTGGGCTGGGGCTCTGGTGGCTGGTGGTGGAAGAGAAGTCTGGAGGGCTCTGCCTGGCCGAGCCACCCTTGTCCAGATGGAAGGCACCAGGACGTAGAACCCCTTC